GTGTCAGAGCCTTGATTGATTCAGGAGCTACTAGTAGTTTCGCTGGTGCCGCAGGCCTACGGTTATTTGCAAAAGCGCGAATTCCGCCGTACGAAGTGCCTGAGAAGTGTATTTTGCTTGCTGGGGGCCAAATAGAACATATTCCACACATGTCGACTTGCTTTGCCGAGCTAAAAGGCCGAATTACCAGGTTAAACGTGCTATTGATGCCAACCCTTTCGGAAGACTTCATCCTGGGGATGGATTTTCTAATCGGGTCCCGTATGGTAATTGATTTTTATGCTCAAACTTGGTATTACCGAGAGAGCCCTGATTTGCGTCACGAATTTACGCCGATACATGCTGCCACTAGCCTTATCGTTTGTAACGGTCTACGTGCCCTGGAACGAACCCAGGAGCGGGAACTCGAGACGTTCCTGGAGAATCACCTTGTCTTTGACGTCACATGCTATCGATGTTGGCGATAGCCTCCCCATTAAGCAAAGGCCATACCCCATGAGCCCCACCATCCGTGAGATCATGTGGAAAGAAGTCGACTCAATGCTGGCGAACGACATTATTGTACCCTCAAAGAGTGATTGGTCTAGCCCCGTTGTTATGCTTCGGAAACCCAACGGCAAATACCGTTTCTGCATTGATTTTCGTCGAGTCAATGCCATCACCAAAAAGGACGCCTACCCTATCCCAAATATGACGGGCATATTAGACGAACTGCGCCACGCGCATTATATCACGACCCTCGACTTAAGTCAGGCGTACTTTCAGATCCCGCTCGAGCCTGCGAGCCAAGAGATCACTGCATTCATTGCCCCTGGAAGAGGTTTATATCACTTCCAGCGTATGCCATATGGCTTAACAAATGCTCCTGCCACCTTCCAGCGTTTGCTGGACAGCCTTTTAGGCCAAGGGTTGTACCCTAACGTTTTCGTCTATTTAGACGACATTATAGTGGTTTCTCGTACCTTCGGGGAACATTTAAAATGCCTCCAAAAGGTCCTTGCCAAAATTAAAGCGGCCGGCTTAACTATTAATCGAGAGAAAAGCCATTTGTGCTGTTCCCAGGTTAAATACCTCGGCTTCCTGGTTAACAACGCCGGTTTGCAGGTTGATCCGGATAAAACCGAGCCGGTCATCACGTATCCTGCCCCCCAAAATATTAAACAACTGCGCAGATTTTCGGGCATGGCGTCATGGTATCGCCGATTCATACCCCAATTTCCGACTATCGCCGAGCCACTGACTCGCCTTACTCGCAAGAACGAGTTATGGGACGGGCGAACAGCAAAATGCGTTTACCGCCTTGAAGTAGTGCTTAACCACTTCCCCAACCCTTACATGTCCAAATTTCGAAATTCCCTTTACCTTGCAAACCGATGCCGATTGGTCTAGGTGCCGTACTCACCCAGGTGGTTACAGGCGAGGAGAGAGTCGTTGCGTATGCGAGTCACGGAACTAGAGTGTCTGGCCGTCTTATGGTCTATAAATAAATTCCGTTGTTATCTTGAGGGATATTCTTTTATTGTTATAACTGACCATAGTAGCCTTCGTTGGTCACACAATTTGAAAAACCCTACCGGTAGACTTGCCCGTTGGGCCCTCAGTTTAATCGAATACGATTTCAAGATAGTGAACCGCAAGGGAGCCTTGCACCACGTGCCAGATGCGCTATCGCGCACCCCCGAAAGGGAAAGTGCAAATTATGAAACGATCCAGCGAGTTCAGGTTTCTGACGACAAAGGGTATAACAAAAAGTATCGTCACGTGCAGAGAGTGCCAGAGTTCTTCCCTGATTGGAAAATCGAGGGAGATCAGCTCTATACTCACCGACCTTCCGACTTTATCTCAGTAGAGATGGAAGATCTGAATGCTTAGAAATTAGTCCTCCCAAAACAGTACCGCTCCAAAGCCATTGCTGAATGCCACGATATGCCTCAAGCAGGCCACCTCGGTGTCGGTAAGACTTATCGGCGACTGATCAGCCATTATTATTGGCCCAAAATGCTGCGAGACGTCACTCGCCATATTAATCATTGCCAGACGTGCCAGGCCTGCAAAGTGGAGAATGCTCCTCCCCGTGCATTCATGGGGAATCGCATTGTCGAGGAACCGTGGACCATCGTAGCTGCCGACATCATGGGCCCTATCACTGCCAGTAAGCTTGGCCTTCGTTATATCCTGGTCCTACAGGACTTTTTCACCAAGTGGATCGAGGTGAACCCTCTTAAGAGAGCCACCGGAAAAACCATTCGAGAGCGGATCGAGAAGGACATCATCTCCAGATGGGGTTCGCCCCGAGTCCTGTTCACCGACAATGGCACCGAATTCATCAGTAAGGACATCCGTGCCCTAGTCGCCCTAACTGGCATGCGACTCCAGGCGTCGCCACCCTAGCACCCTCAGGCGAACCCGGTTGAACGGGTCAATCGCGTCCTCAAAATGATGCTGAGAGCCTTCACCGAAAGCGACCATCGTACGTGGGATACACATCTCCACGAATTCCAATTCGCCTACAACACTGCGTTCCGTAGCGCCTTGCTGGTCACCCCAGCCTTTGCCAATTTTGGCCGTGAGCCGTTATCGGCTGTTTCTCTTCGACGAGGAGCAGAAAATAATCTTGCCATCTTGGCCAGACCCCCCGAAGAGTGGTTAGCACGTATGAGACGGCTGGAATCCTTCCGTAAGACCCTCAATCATGTGATGAAAGAAGCATATGCTGGTCAAGCCCATTATTACAACTTACGCCATCGAGATCAGGAGTTTCAGGAAGGGGAACTCGTCATGCGTTGCTCGCACCCCCTCTCCAATGCAGCTAAACAATTCTCTGCTGCCTTGGTGCCACCATTTGAAGGCCCATACGTCATTTTCTAAAAATTATCGAAAACGCGGTATTTATTAGCAGATCTAGTCGGTAATTTACAGAGCGAAGTTTCAATTCAAGACCTGAAACCCTATCAACCGCCGCTTGAAACCTAACACACACTCGAGTCACGAATACCGCCTGCAGTATTGCCAGGGAATGTCATCAGTGCCTTAGGCCATGGTCCGCGGGAATAGAATGATTTTACACTGTATAATTTTCTTCTAGACTCCATGGAAAAGAATTACGAGGAGGTTCCAGCAATGGACATGGGCAAGGCCGAAGACCTTACCACTGCGCCAGTCGCCAACCCGTCCTCCGAGGAGGATTACGCTTCTGCAGAAGGATGTGCCAACGGGTCATCAGAGGAGACACCTACATCCCAGACGCCCTCAGACGCCCCTCCGGGATCTGCCGAGACCTCACCACTCTCGCGCCATGCTGGAGACCGCCAGCCCAAGGGAATCTCCTGCTCACCCCTGACCACGTACGGCAGGGAGTTACAGGCCATCAAGGACCCCGCCTTCCTCAAGGTCCTGCGAACTTTCGCCACTGCTCTCTGGAACATGGAGCCTCCCAGAGAGTTCGCAGAAATGCCTCCCTTCCCATCAGAGCAAGAACTCGCGATGGAAGGACCCTTCTTGCACAGCTAGTACCAGCTCTTCATTGCCGAGGAGCAAGCCCTCCTAACTCCAACTGTTGCCGAGGAGCAAACCCTCCTAACTCCAACTACCACCGAGGAGCCCTCACAGCCAACCCTCATCAATTCCCCTGCAGTTCTTGCCAGCCAGTCTGACTCCGCACTCCATAGTGCCGCCCCACCAGACCCCCAAGAACCCCCACTGGGAGGATCTGACATCCTGGAGATCCACGCTCTTCCAGATATTCTTCTCGAGGAAGCTGACGGGATGGAGATATCTAGCTCCACAGTGCCACCAGAGCCAAGGCCTTCCACGCCAGCATCACTCGCTCCCTCCGGAACTAGGAAGGAAGAGCCCAGACAGGAGGAAAGTCCTCTTGAGGGCCAGCCTGCCCTGGCTAGCCCACGAGGCAAGCCATTGGCACCCATTCGGGAGGATAAGCCCAACCTCTATGCTTCGAGAAAGCCATCACGTGGCGTCAGATGCCACCGGTGCCATGGATATGGCCATGGGTACCCTGAGTGCCCCACTGGACTCAAACATGACTTCTGTGTCGTCTGCCGGAAGTGGCGGTGCAACGTTTTCACCTGCGCCGTTACCAACGCCAAACATGAGGCTGCCAGGAAGGCCATCCGAGACAATCGGCCCAACCAGCCACCTCAACCCAGCCTCACCACTGCACCTCGTGCCACTCTCCTGTCACGTTACCGTAAGGTGACTGACAAGAAGGGAGATTACCCCCTCCCTACGGGAACTGCTGCCCCAGCAGCCAGAGCAGGACCACCAGCTAGCAGCGGAGCCATCCCCAAGGTCCTCAAGAAGGTGCCCACCATCACCTATAGAGGCGACGTGATCGTGGACAGGACGACGCCCAGCCCCAGGCCAGCCACGTATACGGACTCCGCCACCAAGCGTCCGCGAACGTCTCCTGACGAGAACCACCCGGCCAAATCGACCACCACGGACAGCCACACGGGGCCCTGCCCAGCCTGGTCAACCCCCATCAGCCCCACCAGAACGGAGCTCGGAGCGAAGGTCCCCCCGGGGCCAATTCTGCTTTTGAGCCAAGACGACGGTCACCCCATCACCGTCACCCCCCTGCGACCCTTACCCACGGAGGAGTGGTTAGAGGCTGCCGCAGCAATGGACCCAGAGGCCTTTGCTCCTTTCGTGGAGAGCCAACCCAGAAAATACTCGGGATAAGTCCCTCCACATGCTGGAAAAGCCATCTGTGCCTAGCGCCATCATTCTAGCTGAGTGTAGTCCAGAGTGATTTTGCGGATATCCGCCACTTTTCCCCTCACGATCACGAAGCACCAGGGAGAGAAGCTGCGGAGGAGTTCGCCATCTACTCGAAGAGCGATCTGCGCCCAGCGCCACCGCTTACTGTTCTCCTTGCCGAACGGCCTTGCGAACTTTCGCCCCGTACCCCGCTCGGATCGACGAGATCCCAGAGCGGAAATCGCGCAGGATTTCGCCACATGCTATGAAAGCCTTTGCGCTTAGCGCAGAGTCTCCATGGAGAATCCCAGGAGACCTACGCTGCGGATTGCCGCCTCGGTCTCCAATTTTCCATCGGACAACCTTGGAGCCAAGTTGCGATATTCTCCCACCTTCTCCATCACGTCCACAGGAGACAGGAAAATTCTGCGGGTACCACCGCTACCAAAAGGTCTAGAGAGGTCTGAGGAGACTAGACGTTTCCCACCACTGGAGACAACCAGACAAACATCAGTGAGTCATCAGGAAATCAGTATGAAGAGATCATCGTGCTTCGCCTTGCGCATAGCGCCTTAAGCATTGGACTTCAGTGAATGCATTTGTGTGCCAAAAATTATGTGATATTGTAAACCTTGTGATATCTAGTGCTCATGATTATGAGCTATAATTTTGTGCTTAGATTTACTGCCATTAGTGCCTAAGATCTTGTAACAAGTGATTGCGTTTAACGCTACGTATTGCCTTCGCAGAAACGCCGTTCTGATTCAGAACTTGCGCCTAGAAGGCGGAATAAAAAATTTGGTTATTGGAAAGACCGTATTTATTTGTCATTGCGATTTCCAGCAGAGCATGAGACTGTCTGTTCAAGTCGTGGGTTCGAGAGGGTTTCCACCCATCACCCGCGCCGCCATACCGAATCGAGATCCTGGACGCACTTGTGACGCATCGAGGGAGGCAAATTCTCTGCCTAGACCCCTGCTGAGACTACCGGACACTGACGCGTACCCGGACACGCACCTGTCAAATGAAAGGGGTGTAAGGAAGTCTGGGGAATTTCCTTTGAACGTCGAGATCAGCAAAAAAAAAAAATTAGTGAAAACATCGGGAGTACGCAGAAAAGACCCAGTAGAGTCCAGAATTAAAAATTAGAGTCGTTAGAATTTGAGGATCTAGTTGCATTTTGATGCCTAAATTATTGAAAATGATACGGCGTATTTCGCCTTATTTTTCTTTGAGGATTCCCTTGCGTTTAAACCCCAAAATTACTGACTTTTGAGGCTATCGGGGTTTAGAGAATAATTATTACGAGTTATCGACAAAATATTGAATTAAAGTTTCGAGGGATAAAAATTAATTAAGTAGAGTTCCTTAATTAACCGTGTATGAAGCCAAATATATCGACTCGAACGGTTAGGTTCAGGATAAAATACTCTTAGGTAAATATATAGGATAGGAGTAGGAATAATTGCAATATTATCGCTCAATTATAGGATTTACGGGACAGAACAGGTTAGGGTTAGGGTTTCGGTGACAGGTCAGGAGGGAATCAA